TGTTGTTTTTAGTTTATGTGATATAATTAAAAAAATTGAGAGTTAATTAAAATTTTCTTTGATGGGAACTTTTTTTATTTGTTTTAAAATATTTTAAGTTGTTAATTTATTTTGATTTACAGTACTTTTTATTAATTTCTAAATATTTAATTTTTATTTCAGAAAATGTAAAACATCATGATCAAATATAATCAAAATTTAGAAGTTTGAATTTTGAAATTTCAATTGTGTCATATAAATTGGGATAAAAGAGAGTATTATGTAAATGAGTGAATACTATAACAATTAGAAAAAAAAAATCAAGGTACTTGATGTGCCTTTTCTTTTCTTATCCATCTTGATACCGTTAGAGATTATTTTTTTTTGATAGAATATGATAGGATAGGATATTCATGAGATTAGTTATTTTATTTTTAAAATAAAATAGATAGTTTTCATTGTTTCAAATTTTAAATGATGAGATAAAGTAATTTAAATTAATTAATTATCATAATTAATTATATATATGATAAAATAATTTCATGTTTTTCCAACAAAATTGATTACTTGCTATTGAAAATTACCAGAACCAATTTAGTTATAATAGTAGTATTATTAAAAAATGTGGTGCGGTGGATAGAGCTATTGTTTCCTTTTGAATTTGAATTCAGGATATAAAAAATCTTTAATAAAAAGCGCTTCTCCCCAAATAGTGTTCTATGCGGCACGAAGCCAAATTAGTTGTGCTCTAATGTAAATTCGAATTCATGACACTCAGGAGAAATAAAAAATAAAATAAAATTTAACAGATGCAGAGTAAGTAGGCGTTTGGCCATGCGATACCATATCACGATATGGAATCGTGAGATGGAATCAGGGTTTGGACATGTGATTTTACGCTGATTCCATCTCATGATTCCATATTCTCCAAAAACCATGATATGTAAATTTCATATCATGATTTGAGATATTTTTAATACAAAAATTGATCCACAAGTTTATATTTTGTTAAAACAACCCCACATTTATATGCACTAACCATTTATTTCATATGTAAATAAAATTTATAATCACATCATTACTTTTTAAAATTTATTATTTTCACCAACATATAATCACTTTAATTCACACCAACTGATTGTTGAGTAATAAATTTATTCTCTTCATTTACTCAAACACCTAATTTATTACTTCTACCGTTTTGTATTTAATTCTCAAAGTAACAATGTTGGTTCGTCTTCTCGGTCACAGGATCGAGAAATGCAGGTTCAACGTGAGAAAATTGTCCGTACTATGTGGGAGGATTTTATTAAAAACTAGTACACTACACTTTATGTTCATTTTTGTTATTAAATTAAAGTTAGATGAAACAGTTACTTAAGTGGAGAACAAAGCTTTGTAATAATTTATTATGCGATTTTATAAATTTTTGTTTATTTGGTAAGATTGAATAAACAATTTGGGCTATTTTAATAGGTTTACAACTTATGAAATTCTTATGTTTATGAGAAAATATACAACACAAAAATTTCATATCGCATGTCCAAATAAACTTCAATTTCATCTCATAATTTCATATTATGATATCATATCATGATTCTATATTATGATACCATATCGCATGGTCAAACGGGCCCTAAGGATGTTATGAATCGTTATTTCTTATACATATATACATTTTTTTAAATTATTGTCAGTATAATTAACTACTTATGAGGAAATCAATGATTTTTATTTATAAAGATATAATAATGAATTCAATAAAGTTGAAATTAGTTGGGATAGTCCGTTGTCAAATCTCTACGTCAAGACTGCCACGCTAGCTAATTTCGCGGCAAAATTTGGATGTTAACTCAAAGCTTTTACCCACGTGTCGGCTAATGTGCGCCAACGAAGGTATTCGCTTCTACACACGTGGAACCCCTGCTAAAATATCACCATGAAATTTTTATTCTTTCATTTTTACCTAATAAATTCTGTATTTTATTTTACTTTTTATACATTACTATTTTGTGTTTTAATTTATGGAATGATTTTTTAATTTATTTTGATATTTTTAATTATATTAATATTCAATATTTTCTTGGGAAAAAAGGACAAATATACTCGAACTATTATAAATGTTATCTAGATACCATCCGTTATACTTTTGGGACAATGGTGTCTCTGTCGTCCAAAAACTAGAGCATATATACCTCTTATATTAACGGACATACATGTGTCATAATCTTATCCATCGATCCGACATATATTAAATATCAGATCGGCGGATAAAATTGCACCACATGTCCCTATTTAGCCTTCTGTTAGAATGAAGGACATATATACTCTAGTTTTTTATGGCAGGGGCACTAATGTACCAAAAGTATGACAGAGGGTATCTGCATATCATTTATGATAATTCAGAGGTTCCCTTTTCCCTATTTTCTTTAATTAACATTTTAATAAAGGGAACAAAGACAAATATATCCTCGAACTATCATAAATGATATGCAGATACCCTCCGTCATACTTTTGGGACATTGATGCCCCTGCCGTCCAAAAACTAGAGCATATATATATACCCATTAATTAGGAATATTCTTAGCCCTTTAATCAGTGGCAGACCCAGGATTTGTGTTCAGGAGATTTGTAAAATAAAAGTATAAACGTGTAAATAAGTCTTTAGAAATGGGAACCTTGAATTCTTTTATACAGAAAATTACCTTATATATATAGTATAATTTTTTGCCAAGGGGGTGGATCCCACGTGGATTTTAATTAATGCGTAAATCATGGACCTAACGATTTTACTTCACCTGCGTGACAAGGATGACCAGATACAGTTGTATTATGGCGTGTGTGCCGTGTGTCACATGATCCACGTGCATAACCACTGTTTGTACACTTGTAACTTCTCCAACTATAAATAAAATTAGGAAAAAATAAATACCTTGTACCTTTTTAAAGGAAAGGAAAGGAAAAAAAAGTAGTGATGATGGCGGAATGTGTAGGAAGGGCAGTAGAATCAAAGAAATCAATAGTTGGACGTTCGAGAAAAGGTTGCATGAGAGGTAAAGGCGGTCCAGAAAACGCGTTGTGCACATATAGAGGAGTGAGACAAAGAACATGGGGCAAATGGGTAGCTGAAATAAGAGAACCAAATCGTGGAGCACGAATTTGGTTAGGCACTTTCAATACTTCAATCGAAGCAGCCAGAGCCTATGACGACGCAGCTCGCCGCCTTTATGGTTCTGATGCGAAGCTCAATCTCTCAGAAGAATCAACTGACACAGAAATTAGTTGCATGGAAAACAACATAATCGAGGAATGTTCTGTACTTGAGGAAGCATCCATATTTAAAGATGGAAACGGGGAGTATTTGGTGTGGGATACTCCCGCACCTAATTTGCTTGGCTTGGATTTTCATGGAGACGCTACATCTTTCAATTGGACTGATGAACCTCAAATCATGTATTGATTTTCAGTCCTTACTTGTCTAGTAACTCTTTTCTTCCTTTTCATTTTAATTTGTGGGGAGAAAAAAACGAAAATTCATGCAATTTCTAGCTAGTATAGTTAGTTAGTAGGTTTGTTAGTTTTTTTCCTTTTAGTAATTTCTTTCTAGTTAGAGAATAGTAAAATTAGTCCACTGGTATTACTAATGTTTGTAGTGTAAGATGGGACGTTAGTTAAAGGTTGTTGTACTGTGTGTATTGGATTTTGTTTTGCTGTGTATAATAATTAATTCAATTATTTGTAAATCTCAAAGTAGCAAAATCAAAAGACTTCAAATTTGAGATACACATTTCACCTTTAGATTTTGCTACTGTGAAGAGTTGTACTAAATACTTAAGGGTGAAATGTGTATCTCGTAATTGTGCATGGATGTTGCGGACGAGGAAATATGAGTATTCGGATAGATTTCGTATTTATAAGTACATTGGCGAACATAGTTGTGGCGTTGAACATGCCAATAATAGTCATAGATAAATTTCAATCAAAGTGATTGCTTCACTTTGTGTAAAGTGTAAATATGTATCGTGATGGTAAGGATTCAAATGTTAAAGAGATTCAAAGAGCTATGCTTAATTTTTTTCATTGTAGTCCAAGCTATTGGAAATGTTGGAAGGGTGGTGTGGTTGCTAAGGAAATGGTCCGAGGGACACCGGAGAACAAATATTCATGCTAACCGGCTTTTTCTTAGATGTTTGAGACACTTAATGTTGGTTCTAGTTATTGTCTCATGGTAAACGAGGATAGTCATAGGTTCATGTATTATTTCTTGGCCTTTGGTGCTTGCATTAAGGGATTTGCCCACATGAGAAAGGTAATTGCAGTTGATGGCACTCATTTACATGGTAAATACGAGGAGGCGTGTTGTTGAGCACTGTTACACAAGATACGGAGAATCATGCTTATTCAATTGCCTTTTGTGTCGTGGACAAAGAGAATGATGCATCTTGGACATTCTTCTTTGAGAAATTGAAGGAGATTGTGGTTGATGAACCAGGTTTGTGTTTTTATCTTCGATAGACACAAGAGTATCACCAACGATACTGTGAACGTTTACAATCATGCTCACCACGGATATTGTATGAGGTACTTGGGTAAAAATTTCCACGTAAATCATCATTGTGGAGATTACCTTTATCTTTACTACAATGCGGCAATAGATTGTGTAATGATGATACTAAAAAAGAATACGTGCCTAAAATGTATGATCCTTTGTTAAATGGACCATATCGAGGAACAATAAAAAAGGGGTTATTCTTTGGAGGAGTTTGACAATCATTTTGTAGAATTCAAAAACAAATGCCCCGTAGTAGCCGTCGTCCTTGAGCATGATATTGGTTTTGAGAAATGGAGCAGGGCACATTTTCCTGGCAATAGATATGATGTGATGACCACAACTATCGCCGAGTCACTCAATGCTATGTTGATAGATGAAAGAGAGTATCCCGTGGAAATCTATATTTAATTCGATTGCTAAGAGGTTTGGAGAATTCTTTAGGGAGAGGCATGCATATATCCTCAAATCAATGGGTAATCAAATGGTGCCGACTGCGAAAAAAATTGCAAGAAAAAAAATGATAGAGGGCGACTCCTTGTATGTGGAGAATATAATCGAGGACGACAATCAATTTACCGTGTTTGGTGCGGGTGTTACTGCCTATGTGGAGCTACTGAAAAAGTCATGTTCATGTAGGGAATATGACTTGATCAAGATACCTTGTGCTCACGCGATGGCCGTTTTGCGATCGAAACATGGCATTGAGTATGGTATGAGCATCTATGAGTACTCTTTGCCTTTGTATAAAGTTGAAGCGTACCTTCTTGCATACATGGATTCTATTAATGTTGTCCCTCTCGAGTCGAAATGGTGTGCTCAAGAAGCATTGCTTAATGTGAATATTTTTTCGCCTCTTGTCGATACCAAGCTTGAAAGCAAAAGAAGAAAATGTGTCAAAGACATCGGTGGTGAGAATTTCAAGAGCAAGAGAAGGAACAAATTTTCAACTTGTAATAGAACCGGACACAAGAGAACTACATGTGTGAACAATAATAAATCTTAAACAAGCTTGATTGAATTTGTTTTTGTAATGAAGCTACTGATTGTTTTTTGCAACTGTAATCGAGTTTCTATTTTTTTTTTTGCTACTGTAATCAAGCAACTGCCAACATTTTCGTCAATTTATTGTCATCTATTATCGTAATAACTCATGATCTAATATAGATCAATCAAAAGACGACATACATTTTGTACACTGTCTATATATATGAAAATTATTATTATATGAAAATTCATGGTATTTGTAATGCAATGATTCTAATGCATGAATTAGAATATGATTAAGAACTAGAATTAGAATGATATTTGTGACTATTTTTTATGCACCAAATCAGACAATCCTTAAGAAATAATCTAAGTATAACTAATACAAGCATTATTTGCATATACACTCTACCAAACAAATCCTTAATGAATTGTCAAAAATATAGATGTTACCATTACAAAAAGTAGCAATTTGAACTTTTTTTACCGTTGTAAAATGTGTATATCTAAATATTTACTGGTTATCAAAATATATAAATCTTTTATACAATCGATACATCTATATGTGTAAGGTGTATGTATGACATATGAGATTTATACTCTGACTTTAGTAAGGTATATTCGGTTTTATATCTATGTTAACGCATTATCGTTACTTCACCAACTAGAATCTGACACTTATATATAGACCAACTAGAATCTAACACTTATATTGGGTGTGGTGATTAGTGATGTACGAGGAAGAATTGTGGTTATACAATCAACATCCTTAGAACAATGTTTGAGAAAACATAAGTATGTTGTGAGGATGTCACTTGTTCAACCACACATTGTTATTGCCACCCCAATTTATATGGACTCATACATGATCACATGCTTATGTTGTAAACATGTTGATTGTATAACCACACATAACTATTCCTCATTCATACCTGTGCATTCTTCACACATAGTTTGAAGATGTTCATTGTATAACTACAACTCTTTCTCATACATCATTTATCTCCACCCTCAATGTATTAATTTGGACCTTTACATTACTTGTTTAAACTTATTTAATTTAATAAATTTCAATAATATTGTTTATTATTAGTTAATCATTCTCCCTTTTAAATTATACTAGCTACAGTCTATATTTAAGCGTCATACTCTAGTAGGTGCAGTATAGAACATTTATGGATCATGATATCAACCCGTATTTACCTTATTAGTGTTGAAGTGTAGATGTCGTTGGTACAATCTAAACCAACCACATGAAAAAATATTGACTGTCTTAATTATCTATATTTTTTGTCCAACAGTGACAATACTCAATTATCCAAGTTTTACAACGGTAACAAAGTACAAATTGCTACTTTTCAACGGTAACATTTACTTTTTTAGTGTATAAAAAGAAGAATTCAGGAACTTTGTCATCCTATTCTATTTTATAATACTTAAACATCTCTTTTTATTATGTCTCAAGCATCTCAAACATTCAATGCAAAAAAAGCTTACGTTTGTCGTTGTGGTAATTTAGCTATGTTAAGGACGTCACACACCAATATTGTTACGACCTGATTTCGAAAACTAAGGGTTTCGAAACCGCTTCGCAACTTTGGCAAATTTTGTTAAGTTTTTGAAAAAATCATAATTTGGAAGTCGCCACTTAAGGAAAAATTAAGAAAACCATTTTAAAAGGAAATTTTGAAAGAAAATATTTTAAATAAAACCAGAGTCGGGTAAGAGTTCAAATAATTCTCTAAGGAAGGGTTTAGGCATCTTAGAGAATCCGCTAACACACGATTGACCGACGGAGTTAAAAATTTGGCTAACTTTGTAAAAATGGTTACTTATGAAAATCTCGTTTGAAACTTAGATAAAAATCTCTTGATATTTCTAAAAATCTCAAGAATAATCCTAACTTAAAACTTTTATCCATAGTCATGTTTTGAATCATACAATTAATGCTAACTCATAAACAAGGATTAAAGGACCTTGTTTAACAACTATGAAATGATATTAAAGATCCTTAAGTCATTCATAGAAAGTCCTAAGTTAAATTAAAAGATAACTAATTTATTTTAAGAAACTTAACAATTTTATCCTATTCAAAAATTTGAACTAAATAATTAGTTCAAACTCATAAACATGGATTCAAACTAATTATTAATTATGAAAGAATATTGATAATTCTTAAGTTAGTCTAAGAGCTTAAGCTTTGCAAGAGTTTTGAAAATTTAAATACTTAATACACAACTAACGAAATAGAAGAGTTATTTAAAAACTTCCAAGGATTCATCTAAGTTAGATAAAATAAATGTTAAAAGTTAAAAGCAAATATCACAAAATCACATTATAAGGAAAATAAAAGTGCGAACAGAACTTGGACAAATTTAAGTCCACTTGCTGCTTCTTAGTTGTTGCTGCTGGCGCAATTTTCAAACTTTTTAAAGTCTGAAAAATGCGAGTTTCAGCCCTTTGAAGTTGCTGCAACTCTGCCTCATTTCAGGTGTCCAAATTTCGGCCAATTTGAACTGAAAGCACTTTCATTTCAACTCTTTGAGCTGTTGTTGCCACTGATCTGTTGGTATTTCTTGGGTTTTAACCCAATGATATTAACTTCCCTTTCAATCGGTTTAAAGGAAGTTGACTCGGAGAGAGGATACAAGGGAATGAAAGTTCGAATGGACTCAAACGGGAGAGTTCATGCAAAGAAGATGAATAAAATGATTAGCACATGTGAAGTAAACAAGTAGGAGTCGACACTTACAATAAAACAACTCAAAGCAGCAAATTGGTCAAATATTTGATATTCTAATAATAACATATTCCTTGTTAACTAATTTAACACCAATTTGTCCATAATGAGCTAAAACACCCAACTTTGTGCAACATAGAATAATTAAAACTTGAAAGAAAATCATTAGACCTCCAGGTAACATAATCAACTAGGTATTATATGTCTCATCAAACCAGAATGTCAAAGAGTCTTAAGAAATCACAACTAACTCTAAAATGCAAGAGACTACCCATATGATTCACTTTAAAATTGAGATAAATCTGATCGAATTTTAAAAATAAAAATGAATAAAACAGACCATTGTTTAAGCAAGCAGGTAACCACATTTAACAAGTTAATATGATACCGCTTTGTGGAAACCTAGAACAGAAGAAAGTCTCTTTAGGATGGCTCTGTCCTAGCTAGACCGAGTCTCATAGTCCTGTCTCAACCAATTCAAGCATGGATCTAAAGATAATGAGTTAAAGAGTTTTCATTTATCCGAGCCTAACTCTTTGGGAAACACTATTAAAAAACTGCTTAAAAATGACGTATTGAAAAGCGACGGACAGCGTCGCTAAAAAAAGCGACGCATTTTGCCACACTGTCCGTCGCTTTTTAGTAAAAATAATTATTTTTAAAATTATTTTACAAAAAGCGACGGACGACATCTCTTAGTCCATCGCTTTTTTTCATGGATTTTTGCGTCAAATATATAAATAATTAATAATTATTTATTTAATATATATAGCGACGCCGTCCGCCGCTTTTATTAAAAATAATTATATATAAATTAAAAATTAACGACTCTGTCCGTCACTTTTAATTTATTTTATTTTATTATAAAAAAAAATTTATGGCGACGGACGACATCTTTATATCCATCGCTTATTGGTCAAAATATATGGTCAACTATTTTTAAAAAGCGACGGACAGTGTCTCTTAGTCTGTCGCTTTTTTGGTCAAAATAATAGTCAACTATATTTAAAAAAAGCGACGGACTTAGAGACACTGTCCGTCGCTTTTTATTAAATATTTGAAAGATAGATCACTATTTTCTTATTTTCCTCTCTCTCTTCACTCTTATTCTCTCCCTTCTCTCTATATTTATCCTCTACCCGTCACCGACGCCGCCCTTCCCCGTCGCCTGCGCCGGTCGGCGTCCTCTCCCAGGTCTGCCCTTCCCCGTCGCCGTCCGCCTTCGCCGGTCCCGTCGCTACAGTGCTGCTGCCTCTCCTTGTTAAGGTTAGGGTTAAATTTTAGTTTTTTTTTTCAATTGTAGTGATTATAATTGATTGTTTGTTAGTATGTTATTGTTTTTGTTTGTTGGGTTGTGTTATTCAATTGTTAATTTGATTTGATTATTGTTAGTTAGGTATAGATAGTTGAAGATTTTTATTTTAAGGTTTTTTTTTTAAAAAATTGGGCATTGTTAATTAGTGAAGAATTAACATTTTTGTACTTTAGGACTAGTTTAAACTTGAGAATATGTAATTTGAGGTTGAATTGGGATTTTTTTGGATTTGATTTTAGGACTAGTTAGTAAAGTGTTAATTTGAAGTTAGAAATTAGTAATTGAAGTGTTATGAGTAGATGATGAATGTTTGAATGTCATGAATTTAGATAATGAATGTTTGAATGCCATGAACTTAGAATTTGAAGTTGAACTTAGAACTTGAATTTGAACTTAGAATTTGAAGTTAAACTTAGAACTTGAACTTGAACTTGAAAGTAGAACTTGAACTTAGAACTTGAACTTGAACTTAGAACTTGAACTTGAACTTAGAATTTGAACTTGAACTTAGAACTTGAACTTGAACTTGAAATTAGAACTTGAACTTAAACTTGAACTTGAAGTTGAACTTGAACTTAGAACTTGAACTTGAAATTAGAACTTGAACTTGAATTTAGAAATTGAACTTGAACTTAGAACTTGAACTTGAACTTGAACTTAGAACTTGAACTTGAACTTGAACTTAGAACTTGAAGTTGAACTTAGAACTTGAACTTGAAATTAGAACTTGAACTTGAACTTGAAATTAGAACTTGAACTTGAACTTAGAATTTGAACTTAAACTTAGAACTTGAACTTGAAATTAGAATTTGAACTTGAAATTAGAACTTGAACGTAGAATTTGAACTTGAACTTATATAAAACTTGAACTTGAAATTAAATCTTTAACTTAAACGTAGAACTTGAACTTGAAATTAGAACTTGAACTTAGAATTTGAACTTGAACTTGAAATTATAATTTGAA